CGCCAGCGCTCCCGCTCGCCTCCCCGGGGTGGTGACGCGCTGTCCCCACACGGTGAGGTTCGGGCCCCCCCGTGCCCCCCGTCCCCTGTGCTCGGCGCCACTGGCAGAAACGGGCCCCTCAGGCACCGCCGCCTCCGTCGGCACCGCGAGCACTGGTCTCGCCCCAGTTGGCACAGCGGGGCCTCTGAACGCTGTGGGTCACCTTTGTGAGAGGAGAGTTTTCCCGCTAAAAATTATTTCCTCCTCATCCCGCTTCTTGCTTGAATAATAAATTTTCAGTTAACCAGAAGGTGGAGCAATAAAACCAGGAATGAACCCCTTGTTTCGGTGAAGGACTGCATTTCTCTGCAGTTGCGATGCTGCTTAAACTTCTTGCTCTTTTCCAGAGACATACAGAACGCAGACGGAGACTCTTGGCAGTGGGAGCGATGTGCATAGCATGGGAACTGTCGGCAGACATGGCTTGACAGTCCCATTAAGCCCCAACAGTTCAACATGAGGAGCCAGCCTTCCATTGAGATATGTTCTTCAGCAGACTAGCAACCAACTAGAAGAAAAAAAAAAATATTTTTTTTCTAAGTACCAAGGCTGACTTAATTGCCATGATCGTTACAGAGAATCACAACTTACATTTCAGATACCTCACGCAGAACTATCATATCTTATGACTTGGAAGTAAGCAGCCTGAAGTGGGAATTAACTCTGTAGTAAGCTTTTCCACCCTTCTGTGGAAAGACAGAATGTCTAGACAGCACCAAGGCTCGAGAGCACATTTCTGTCGGTTTTAAGTGTGCCTTTGCTTAAAGATTAGATGTCTGTGATGCATCTGGAGACACCGTCTTCAAGGGACAATAGATAACATTATCTAATTAAAAACTTACCTTTATAAAAGACCAGTCTGACCTCATGAGGTTATTTACAATTTTTCAGGTACTTCCAAGTGATGCGTCCTTTCAAAGGAAAATTGTTTTCCAGCTGGAAATGGGTAACGCTGTTAACATTAATACTTAAATCATACAAATACCTCTTTTTGTTTGATTTAGATTGTCAGTTTGTCCCTCAAGCCAGTTTTGTTATGCTTATTGATGTCAGCATAGCAACCCATATAGGAAGCCAGATTCTCTTTTACAAGTTGAAAAGCTTTCGAACCATGTGGATATTGCTGAAGTACTTTCAGCATCTGATTTTTATTCACATATAAATCTGGATAAATATTTAACAAATTCAGTACATACACTTAGATGGGGCACGTTCAGTGCTTTTAAGAGCAGTGATTACTGCTTGCTATGGGCTCTGCACCCAGTGGCAAGTGGCACTTGTGGCAACTTCTGCTGCTCTGTAGCCTACAGAACTCTCCAGTGGGTCAGAGGGTTAAAGCTGCAGAAACACAATAATGCAGATTTTCTTGGCTCAGCAGTATTTAAAGATAAACAGAATATAAAGATGTTGTCAAAGTCATTTACGTTATGTAAATCATGAGAAAGCAGAATGCGTGTGTCGGAAATACGTTTGTTTATTCATTTAAAGTATCTGCTGCACTTAATGTTTATTTTTTTTATGCCAAATTCCTTACATTTCACTGCAGAACTTAATTATCTTTAGATGGGAGTTGTTACAAGTACTTAATCAGGCTGGTTACCTACAGCAATTCCTTATAAAGTGAAAATAAACATCAAGAATAAGCACCCTCATTTTTATATGTGGGTTGTCAGACAGTTAATTAGTACGTAATGAAAGATTTGGTTTTCACAGTCTTTCAGACTTGCTTTTTTTTTTTTTTTTTTTAAGCAATTCAAGCCCAGTTAAAACTGACTGTATGGGTAGGCTTAATGAATTTTCACAGTCAGAGGGAACGTGGAAATGGCAATGCACCAATAGCAACAGGTGCATCACGTCCTTAGTCCTGGCTGGTTTCTCAGAAACACTGAGAAAAACGGGATTTTGAAAATGGTAACTGGTTGCATTTTATTCTTTCTGTGTTGCCAAAAAACCTACCAATGCTGGACTTCAACACATCAAAATGTCACATACGAAATAATTTTTTCACAGCTACTTGGCTTGCACTTGGCTTTGATGTTTGTTTTACCCATGATGCAGTTGTTTTTGCCTTCTGCCTCCTGTTGCTACAATAAGCCATTTCCCATACATGTCATCTCCAAAGGGGAAAAGACCACATGGAAACAGAACAAAGAAAACAGAACAAAAGAAAATCAGGGATTTTTCCAAAGGCCCATTTGATGTACAAGTATAAACAGGAAAAAGATGCCTGAGGAGGTAGGAGCCAGGAACTGTACTAGCAGACAGCTGTTAACTTGTGTAGTTAGCAGCACTTTGGGATTCTGAATGGTAAATAAATAAGTGATTCCAACTTCCAAGGCACACAGTGAAGAAAATGCTCACTTCAGTACCCTTACTGTAATGTTTAAGTGTACTGCACACTCCTAGCAATGTAAGTTGAACTCTTACCTTCGTGTCTTTCTTGTAACACCAAGTCCAGGTACCAAGTCCAGGTACCAATTTGGTTCTAGCCCCAGAAAAGGCAATACCTCAAGATACCAGAATAAAAAGTATTGTCTGTTGTGATGAAACAAGAAAAAATACGGAATGCTTTACAACAGAAATCCGCAATTCGTACGTGAGGCTAGACTCTAAAAAGCCCAACATGTTGCTCCTGAATCTTGTTAAATATTTGTTAAAAAATTTCAAATGGGAATTGCTTAAAAATAAACTTTAAAATTCAAGTTCCTGTAGTAGGTATTAAGTATTCACGAATCTGGACCACAGTGGTTTTACATTGCTAATTAGTTTTATTCTAAAGTGTGAGGGGCAAGGTTTTAAAGATTGACTTACTATTCAAATATTATCTGATGAGTTAACAGTCTTGCTTCTTTCCGATACAAGTTTTTAATGCAACACTTAATTTACTCTAAGTATGCTTGTAATAGAGGAACTGATCTGCCTACACAGTGGAGCCTGGTTTACTTACTACCTTGGGTAGAATATGAGGGGCAGGGAAACTATTATTTACATACCAAAACAGAAAGCAAAAGGCATGTTACGGAAAAAAAAAATGTTACTAAGGAGATAATACCCAATGCACTGCATAACAAATATATTGCAAGCATTTTCTCTCAGGAAGAGGGAAAATATATTTTTCAACTTTGTATTTCCTCTGCTGTTCTCTAGTCTATTTTTTTCATCCCTAATTTCTGTTTCACCTTCTGATTCTTACTTCTTTTGTGTGAGCTCTTATTCTTTGTAACTTTAAAACATCACATACTCTATTCTCAAAATCTGTGTAGGACTTTCTCCTGTTTCCCCTGACAACAATGTGTTTTGTTTCAACAGAAGGGAACAGTTTTTCTGTTTATGTGTTCCCTGTTTACCAGGGTATCTAATCACTGCAGTTATCATCACTGCTCATTCCAAGCCCTGTTTTGTCAGACTGTGCCCTGAGCCCTCTTTTCCTGAAGAGAAAATGGCCTCTTATTTACAAACCATCATATCCCTGCCAAAATTTCCTGTGCTGTATCAACTTAACTCTATTTTCTGTTAATTTCTGCCCATTACAAATTCACATCAGTCCTAGCTGACATTTAATTTGTATCCAAATCCTGAGTGAAGTGAGCAAGAAGTGGTTTGACATGTTCTCAATAAATAGCCATATTAAATGGAGAAGTCACATTAAACAGATAGAAACAAGGACTCCAGAAGTTAATACTATAATTAAATTTGTAAAGCATATAGTATAAGTATGAAATTCTGTAAGATGTGATCCTATCCCTTATTATCTCTATTTTTTAACTAATAAGAGGAGATGGAGGGTTAGTGTATGTTGTTAGAATAGAACTGAAACACTCTTTTGATTCAGATTATAGTAAAATACTGTATTATTCCAAAAAGCAATAGGATGTATTTCAGGAAAGAAACTAGCAAGAATTCTCAGGTTTAGATAGATTGATTTCAGCTCATTTAGCAACCCAGTTTGATCTAATTGTCTTTTTATTGCTCTGAACATTCCTGAATTATGCAGAGAATTTGGGTTATGTGATTTAATGTTGGATTAAAAAATGTCACAGCTTAACTTTCTTTAAAATAGTGTAGAACTTTGTTCACAGTCAACGAAGTTCATTATTTTTTTGTTCAAAGCCCAGCTGCAGGCCTGGAGCATTTCTCATAAATATCAGGAAGTACCC